ACATCGACTCGAGCTTCTCCACCTTCACGTCGGTTACGGTGATGCGCTTCTCCAGGGACTCCAGGCGTTCGAACAGCGCGGTGCTCAGGTCTGTGATGTTGGTGTCCATATTGGCACACTTCTTCTGCAGCTGCGACACGGCCGAAGTGACTGGCGCGAGCTGTTGTTGGAGGACTGTCGCCATGGCTGCCATGGTCACCGGCTCCTGCGCGGATATGTAGTCTTCCTTGTCCTCCTCCTTCTCCTCGTCCTCATCCATGCGGTAGTAGGTCGCCTCTGCATGTTCTCGTTCGGCTCCCTCGCCAAGCAGTGGCGAGTGGGGTCCTTGTCCCGTGCGGGCGAATTTCATCTTCTCCCACGGGTTCATGGTGAGCACATCGCGGACAGGAGTACCTGCAAGGCGAGTGCTCCGAGGCCCTGGAGGTGGGGACTGGAATCCGACATCGCTCAGGACTTTCGTCAGCTCAGCCTCAAGGTTCAAAAGGACACGTGTGCCATCGGCGCTGGAGGACGCCATCGGGGCTACGAAATGAACGATAGTTTCCCGGGCACGGGTCTCGAAGGCGTCCCGGACACGGGTCTTCGAGAGAAGAACAAAAACGAGCGCACGAGGCGAACCTTGAGCCAGACTTGAGGAGGGGGGGGAGGAGGAGGAAAAGGAAGAGGAGGAGGAGGAGGAAAAGGGGGAGGAAAGGGAGGAGGAGGAGGAGGAGGAGGAGGAGGAGGAGGAGGGAGGAGGAGGAGGGAGGTGGAAAAGGAAGAGGAGGAGGAGGATGAGGCGGAAGAGGGAGGAGGAGGAGGAGGAGGAGGAGGAGGAGGAGGAGGAGGAGGAGTAGGAGGAGGATGAGGATGAGGAGGAGGAGAGGAAGGAGAAGGTGGAGAAGGAGGAGGATGAGAAAGATGAGGAGGAGGAGGAGGAGGAGGAGGAGGAGGAGGAGGAGGAGGGGGAGGAGGAAGAGGAGGAGGGGGAGGAGGAGGAAAAAAAGGAGGCGGAGGAGCAGGATGACAACGAGGAGGTAGGCCTAACCAAAATACTGCGTCGTATACGTAGCCATGTGCTTGGTCTGTCGCATCGCGGTAGCGATAGGGCCAGAGAGAAAACATGACTGCGTAATCGGCAATAGGGTAGCATCTCAAGAATAAACGGTGGAACATTTTCCGTATCGATGCTTGGCAGCGCGTCGCGGCGCGACACGGTCATATAAGCCGCCGGGCGCTAAAGCCCGGACGGCCGCGGACGAACGCTCGCCATTTTTCGCCTTGGCCCCTCCTCCTCCTTCATTTGGCCTAAGTTGGCGAAGCAGCTATAATACAAAGGAAAGGCAGCAGCACGCGATTCTAGACCGCAGCGGCCTTACCCCGCACCTCAATGCTCGTCGGACGGCTTTTCGTTTGGCCAATCCTGTACGGAGCATGTCGTTTCACGTCATGTCTGAAATCTTGCATCCCGCCCATAGTTGTAGGAGCCTGTCTTGATCAATGCTCCCCTTGGTGTGACCATATGCGGTCATGTCGCGGGTGTCGCACCACTGCGCGTTTGCACGATACCGCGCTCCATCTGTCGTATATTCAACTGATGTGACCCAGAAAAGTGCATTCAGTCGGTTTCTTCCGGTCATTGCTTGATGAGGACTTGAAGACCTATTCCGCATCAGTGGTCAGGCTGACCTTGATGCTGAGGCCACCCACCTCAATAACCACGAACACCCGATAATAAACCCCCTGGGAGAATAGAGTTCGGCGGTTGCGGTGTGATAATAAAAGTTGCCCACCAGAGGCCAGCATAAAGATGTTAACAGAGGGGCCAAAACCGAGGACATCTTGAGACATTATTGGCATTTTGCCCTCTCTGATACATCCTCAACAATGCCTTGTCTTGCTTGAGACATCCTCGACAAATCTCTCGTTTCGCTTGAGACATCCTCGGAGTATTTGTTTGCTTCGCTTGGGAGTTCCTTTTTACTGCTCGTCTTCACAGAGCGTGTTTGTTTCGTTTGTACGGTCCTCGACGAGCCTCTTTACAGGTCTCCAGAATTTTTCAATTTCATTTTTGGAATGCAATGTAGATTTATTAGTGGTGAATAATAGAGAAGTGAAGCTCAGAGGCGCGCGCAGGCCGACGCGTTCCTTCAGCCTCCGTAAAAGGCTACAAAATGATTTTCAATTTCGTTTTTCAAATTTAATGTTGAGTTATGAATGGTGAGTACTATAGAAGTGAAGCTCAGAGGCGCGCGCGCGGTGGCAGGGTCACCCGCGCGCGCGCCTCCGAGCTACAGTTCTGAATTATAAATGCATAAAAAGTCGACGCGTTCCTTCGGCCTCCTTAAAGGGCTCCAGAATTATTTAATGTCGTTTTTGGAATTAAATGTCGATGCATTGATGGTGAATACTATAGAAATGAAGCTCAGCGGGGCGCCGCCGCGCGCGCGGCTGCGCACCTCCGAGCTTCAAGTAATTTTATTTTTGAGAAAAGACACACATATTTAAATGGTGTCCTATAGAATGTTGTGCACATTCCTATGATTCTTGTAGGTCCCTTAAGCTTCCGATTGATTCCTATAGAGATTCCGATGTATGCTGGATCCCTATGGGTTTTGTATCGATCCATATGGGTTGTCCTACATCCCTGTAGGTTTCTAAATGAATACGTGTAGATTTCGATCGATTCCTTTGGGTTTCTTCAGATTCCCACGGATTCCTTAAATATTCATAAGAGTTTATTGTAATTTGTTTTAGAAATTAAGTGGCGCTTGCGTCGGTCCCGTTAACGAGTTCCATGGATAGTGGACTCCAGCGACGCAACAGTTCAGGGGGCCAGGGAGAGAAGGGGGATAGAAAGATACATAAAAAAGGAAGAAAGAGCAGGGGAATGAGAGAAGGAGGAGGAAGCAAACATCCAAAGTTGAGAACTCATTATATTCAAATGTGCAAACGCTTAATGAACATAAAAAAGTTCAAGGGGGCAGGGGGGGGGAACTATAGAGAGATACGCTAGAAAAATACAAAAAGAGAAAATGATAAAGAGGAGGAAGAGGACGAGGGGGGACAGAGGAGAAACATTAGGAGGAGGAGAGGGTAAGGAGATAGCACACATCCAAAGTTCAGAACTTATTATACTTAAATTGTAAACGCTTAGTGAACATTAAAAGTGTCATCTGCTCGCGTAGGGAAGCTCATTTGCCTCGCCCCCATCCGTATAATAAAGCACAGCCATCAGCAAGTTCAGGGGCCACGGGGAGGAGGAGAAGAAAGGAAGAAAGAGAGAGAGAGAGAGAGAGAGAGAGAGAGAGAGAGAGAGAGAGAGAGAGGGAGAGAGAGAAAGAGAGAGAGAGGGAGAGAGAGAGAGAGAGAGAGAGAGAGAGGAGAGAGAGAGAGAGACAGAGGGAGAGAGAGAGAGAGAGAGGGAGAGAGAGGAGACAGAGGGAGAGAGAGAGAGAGAGAGAGAGAGAGAGAGAGAGAGAGAGAGAGAGAGAGAGAAAGAGAGGGAGAGAGAAAGAGAGAGAGAGGGAGAGAGAGAGAGAGAGAGAGAGGAGAGAGAGAGAGAGAGTGAGAGAGAGCGAGAGAGAGAGAGGGAGAGGGAGGGAGGAGAGAGAGAGAGAGAGAGAGAGAGAAAAAAAAAAAGATATGCAAAGAGACAGAAGGAAGTAGACAAACATATTGAACGGGGGGCAAGAGAGAAGAAAGAGAGAGGCGGGGGAGGGAGGGAGGAGAAGAGGAGAAGGAGAAGAGAACGGCAGTATTGCTTCTTTCGCTTGAGACATCATTGCAGACTTGCTCGTTTCGCTTCGGACATCTTTCACTTGGTTCACTTGAGACATCCTTGAACAATCGCTTGGTTCGCTTGAGGCGTCCTCGAAAGAATGCGTGGGGCCCTCTTGGGGCCCTTCTCGGCCATTCTCTCGGCGTTCCCTTGAATCCGTCGAAGGTCCAAGCTCGAGGTTCCAGGCTCGAGATCTCAGCTCGAAGCCCAGTGGAGCTCGAGAGTGCCGAGGTTCGAGGCTTGCCTCGACGCTCGTCGCTGTCGCCGTCGTCGTCGCCGTCGCCGTCGTCGCCGCCGCCGGGGGGGGGGGGGCGGCGACGGCAGCGGCGACGGCAGAGAGACGACGACGGCGACGACGACGCCGACGACGACACCACCGACGGCGACGGCAGCGGCGACGACGACGACGACGACGGCGGCAGCCTCCATCCCCCCTCCGTCCTGCTGCTCTCCTGCTCCTGCTCCTCCCCCCCCGCCCCTCCTGCCCCCCCTGCTGCCGCTGCTGCCCCCCCCCCCCCCCCCCCTCCCTCTCCCCCCCCCCCCCCCCCATCTCCCCTCTCACATCCTCGAGCAACTTCCTGTTTCGCTTGAGACATCTCCGAGCAAATCTCTCGTTTCGCTTGGAACATCCTCGACAAATCTCTCGCCTTGCTTGATGCATCCTCGAGTATTTGCCTGTTTCGCTTAATGCATCCTCGACAAATCTCTCGCTTCGCTTGCGACATCCTCGAGCACTTCCTTGTTTCGCTTGAGACTCCCTCCCCGCCCCCCCCCTCCGTCCTCGATCGATCCTCGGGTCGAGCCCAAGGTTCTCGGGCCAGGGATCCGGGATCTTGTGATCTCGGATCAACGATGGCCCGAGGCCCCCGGAGCCCCGATCCGAAGATCGATCGAGGATCGAGCCTCGACGAAGGGATCTAAGAGGAGATAGCCTTGAGGCAGCGGCTCGGTCCTCGATCGACACTCGGATCGAGGGACCAAGGTTCTCGGGCCAGAGATCCGAGATCTTGTGATCTCGGATCAACGATGACCCGAGGCTCTCGGAGCCTCGATCCGAAGATCGATCGAGGATCGACGAGCCTCGACGGAGTTGCGGTCGATGTTACGCTCGAGAGGGGGCTGACGAAGCCTCTCGGAAAACCTCTCGGAAAGCTCGAGGGAACGGGCCTTGATCGCCGCTCGCTCCTCGATGAGGCCTCGATGAAGCCTCGCGCTGGGCCTGCTCGGCTCAAACCTCCACCTCGGACTTATCGAACTCATGTTTGCGCGTCCTCTCGGCCTTCATCTCGTTGCACTCGGCGTTGATCTTGGTGTAGCTCGGGAACTTGTTTTTGATGTGCATCTCGAAGAACATCTTCTGATACTCGGGCTTCTTGTTTTTCCTCGGGGCCCTCGTTGCGCTTGAGGCGCTTGGCGGTGTACTTGTGCGCTTCGAGCTCGCAATTCTTCTGGGAAGCCTTGGGGGCTTGCCAGCGCCGCGCAACGATGGCATTCGCGATGCAGATGCGCTCGTTTGCTAGGTCCTCGAGGCAAGCCTGCTTGAACGCGTCGAAGTAGTTCTTTGCCTTCTCTGGCATGGTCGCGACCGACTCGAACTGCTCCTTGCCCTGATCGGCGCAACCGCTCGGCAAGAGCGGCTTGAATTGCTTGTCCACTGGGAACATCACCTCGCAAAGCGCTTGCAGTCTTGGGGGGTCTCGCCGAGGACCTGCTTGACAGCCTCGGTCGCGGCCCCCTCGGGCATCTTCTCGGCCTTATCGCCGGGGGGCACGTCGTGCGTTTTGGCCTCGTCGAGCGACTCCGCTCGGAAGCTCGGCAAAATGCTGAACAACTTCTCGACGCTCGTGTCTTGGTCGTCGAAGCCGCCGAACATCTCGGTGCTCTGCTCGACGTGCGTCTTGTAAAAGATCGCGCAGAGCAGCTCGCCTCGCCGCTTGTCCTTGCCGTGGAAGATGCCCTCGTACTTGATGCCTATCGAGGCCCCCCGTCATGGCGGTGATCGCGAGGACGGCGTTCTTGATGTTCTTGTGCCACAGGGCGGAGCCGCCTCGGCAGCGAGCGCTCGTCATTCTCGAAGCGTCGGTAGCCTCGCCGCTCGATTGGCGCTGCCTCATCTCGGCGCAGCCAGCCTTCTCGGCGATGTGCTCGATTGTCTTGTTCTGCACCTCGATTGTCTTGTTCTGCTTCTCGAGCAGCTTGGCCACTTGCTCCAAAGTCTTGTTGTTCTCCTTCAGAGGCTCGATGACTTGGCTGTCCTCGGCGAGCAGGGGGCTCGAGGCTTTGGGCGACGCCATGGCAGGGGAGCTGAAGCTCGAGAGCTCGAAGGCTCGAAAGACTCGAAAACTCGGGAAGCTTGAAACGCTCGAGCCAGAACGGTTGCGGGCGGGAGCAGGATAACTGCTCGTTTCGCTGGATACATCCTCGAGAGCGTGCTCGTTTCGCTTGAGACATCCTCGAACAAACCTCTCGTTTCGCATCAGACATCCTCGGCGCATCTCTCATCTCGCTGGAGACATCCTCGATCAATTGCTCGTTTCGTTTGAGACATCCTCGAACAAATCTCTCGTTTCGCTTGAGACTTCCTCGGCCAATCTCTCGTTTCGCGTGAGACATCCTCGAGCAATTGCCTGTGTCGCTTGAGATATCCTTTAGAAACGTACTGTTTCGCTTGAGACGCCCTTCAGTGCATGCTTGTTTCGCTTGACACGTCCACGAGTATATGCTTGTTTCGCTTGAGACATCATCGACAAATGTTCCGTTTCGCTTGAGACATCCTCGAATACTTGCTGGTTCCGCTTGAGACATCCTTGAAACATGGTTCGTTTCGTTTGAGACTGCCTCCCAACATTGTTGGTTTCGCTTGAGACATCCTGAAAAAGCGTGTTCGTTTCGCTTGATGTTGCTATCTCAACATAAGAAGGAAATAACCTCGATGGCGAACTCTTCACGGTGATAATGAAATTCGGCCTCCGCGCCCCTGCGCCCCCGACCAAACTCTTATTGGCTGTGGATAATCAACTCTTATGTGCATGGGGGGGGGAGTGCATTATTATCGTGGGTATGTGGTTAATACTCTTCCACTGAATGGGTGCCAACGGCCCTGCGTGTAGATCGTGTAGCGCGACGATCGTGGGATAGCAGTCCTCCTATCTGTGGGCTGCTGCTAGCGCTTCAGCCAAATAGCTAGAGCGGGCCTGCAAGCGGTGAGATTTGCAGTACGCGTCGACATGATGGACGACAGGCTTACCAGCATGCGTGTGCCCACGCCGTAGCAGGTTTGCCCCGCGAATGCTATAGTCTTCGGCCTCATAGTCGGAATCGCCGTTTAATCGTCGGTAGCCGGAGTCGCTGTGCAGGTCTGCCTCACCACTTGGTGTCACCACTGTTAAAACGATTTTCTTTGGACAAGCCTGCAACTTCCGGGCAATCGCTTGAGTCGTCGCACTTGCATGTTGGTCGGTTGCTGGATATGCTGTAAGGATACAACACGCAACATTAGCCATATTTATGTACTTCGGGCGTGGGCCAAAGCGCCTCTGAGATTGACAAGCATATCAGCAACTATCTTTGACGTTCTAGCCTCAGCATCTGCACCAGTGAGTTAGTGGTGCTGTACAGGATGGGGTTTTCGTGTATAGAAATATAGATTCGTCTGGATCAAAAGTGAAGTTACCGTCGCTGTCACTAGCTTACCTAACAGCGCAAATGTTGTACATGTGTCTGTTGGGCTTACATCTCCGAACTGTATCTTCAACGCTCCTAACGCATTTGTCGATTATGTCCACGGTGCCGGCCATGCTTACATCATCAACTTGTTGGCGCTCGTCTCAAACTCTTCATCGTGATACGTGGGTCAGAGCCCAACGCCTCTCGTGGTTATCCTGAGTCTCCGTGAGAAGGCTCATGGCGCAACTTAGGTGCCTGTGCCTGGTTCGAGGCACTGTTGACAATGTGTTGACTCGTCGTAGCGCTTGAACCCCAGGGGCGATCTGAGTGCGGATGCTGACGGGCGGCAATGTAAAACGCGCCGCGCGCTCCCTTTCGCCGGCGGCATCAGCGAGCTTGCGATATGCAGGCCCCTCTCAGGAGGGCCATGTTGCTGTCGAGGGAAGCAATGGCCCACTGCTTCCTGCGCGCTGACCCGCGAGCGAGCAATCGCTGGCTTGGCCGCCTGGCCTTTCCCGAGAACGCTTCTACTTCAAAGGCTTCGAGGCCCGTGAAAACTCGAAGTCCATTTGGCCCTTGTCGTTCCCGACGAATTCCCATGTGTATGCGTATCTCGAAGTCATGATGTCTGACGCTTTGCATATGACTCGCATCTTGAAACACTCGTCAAAACATGACTTGAAATCAATAGATAAGGGTTTTGATACTTGACTGGGTTCGCCTGGATATCTGCTTCCGCGAGAAAGTCGTCCTCCTTTCCGATCGAACCTCGTTTAGCTGCAGCGGTCACATATACTCGCATCGTGGCAACGCGGTCGACGTCCAGCATCCTGCTGTGCAATTCTGATAGAACTACCTTCGACATCTCCGCCGTAAAGCAGAACACCACATATTGTCCGCGCTCGTCGAAGTCCACTCCAGCACTGTCATCGTCGTCCGCGGAGCACAGCCGGACATGATTTGCATCGGCTGTGCTCATACTTTGTGGGCTACCCCACGTAGGCAAGTGCCCTTGCTGTTCATCAGCAACTGCTACCAGCGCGCTGCTGTCAGGCATCATATGTGTGGATACGGAATGAGGTTATTGTAATGGGTTTGCTTCCAGCAATTCCCTCTGGTCTTGTAATTCCGCATACCACACCAACATGAGATGCGCCTCGAGATCCGCCTCCGATTTCCCACGAGTTGTGGAAAGCCGGCCGTCATCGTGTGGTTGTTCGGGTAATGGGGCCTCTCTTGCGTTGCTGCCTTGTGCCGGCATGTCTGCCAGTTCTTCGAACGTTGTCATGTTCTGATCGAAGCCCGCAAGTGCTTCTAGTGGACTTCAGGCGTTGTGTGATTCTCGAGTATGCTGACCCCGCAATGTCTTGGATGTTGAGGGCAGTGCCTTCATCTTCGAAGTAGTGGAACCCTGGTGGGTTCACGTCATTGTCGTAGTGCACCAACTTAGAGCTCTCAGCATACGTTACCGGAGGTAATGTGTGAATCCTCTTAGTTCACCTCAAACAAACAACATTTTCGATGCGGAAGACGTTTCTGATAAGATACTGGAGAACCAAGTGCACCTTTGGAAATCATCGGCTCGCACTTGTCATCTGAAATTTTCCCTCTTTGGTCGGGAAGTAGCCAATGACCATGGCAAATTCCCCCGCAAGCTGAACCGCGACGAATGCCAACACAGTCCGTAATTCTGCTTTGTCCGAGCCACTTTCTCGAGTGCGAAAAGTTTCAATGCAGCGCGTGCGTCTAGCATCGCGCTTCACAACCCGCGCGATAACTTGCCCTCTCGGGATCGTTTCGCACGGCCGGGAATGGTCCATTTCAGCCATCCCAGTCGTCTTTCGTGATTGTGGGTCGATGGTAGTAAGCCAGATCAACTTCGTTGTAGGTAATGCTTGCAAGTGATGGTCGTCTGGGTTCGTGGTGCACGGCTCGTCTTTGCTATTGCTGTGGCCTGCGTCGTAGTTCCGATGCTGACGCGCTGGGAAGTCTGTTCTCGGTTGCGATCGGATGCGTCTGTCTGTTGTTCGTGATCTAGAACAGGCAAGTTCGGAAGCACAGCTGGCTGTAGGCCTGACAGCGCGTTGCACGGTGGTACTTCGTTGTAGAAAGTAAACGCACGCTGGCAAACACAGCCTCATGCCGTAGCCGGGAGAACGCAAGTGGCATGTCGAACTTATTGTGTGCAGGTTCCATGGCGTGACGCAAATGTCGTAATATGCCCGGTCTGGCTTCAATGGTGGTAGCATGTTGTCCACGCGCGAGTATTCCCAGCGCGGCGCCCTTTGCCTTGAAGTCTGACGTCGCGGCGTCGTTATCGAGAGCACCTCTCCCGTCGCAGTGCAATATTTTGGCCAGCCCAAATTGCGTCCAGCACTGATGATGCGCATTTAGGATGCTGGTCATAGTTTCGTCTGGTAACTCATAGCCAGCATCGCATCGAAAGCAACGGTCAATTATGTGGAATACCTCATGCTCCTGTGTTGTAGAACATCGCGTCGCATTCGACTTCATCATTGAATTTGCCAGGTAGCGAGGTAGATGACACTACTGTCTGGCCAAGCTTGCCCCAGGCTCTACTCTTTCGGCATGTGTCATAAACGCATTTTATCCGGTTCAGCCGTGCACTGTCCAGACCAGCCTTGGCTAAGATGCGCATCATCTTAGGTTCTGGAACGTAAAACCATCGTAAATCTCGGCGCTGCGCAGGTTCTGGAGACTGATCTGCGCATCAAATGGCGACCAGTCTGGCAGTCTTGGCCGAGAAGCAGAGTCACCCGCAGGAGGCGGTGGAGATGGATCACCTCCCTGCTGTCGCCCAAGTCTGGCTGCTACCCGTGGCAATCGTCTGTTGTCATCCGAGCTGCCGCGTCACTTGGCTATGCAGCGTGTGCGCCTACTGCGACGTCGCGGCTGCTGGCGCCTGCAGCCGGACCAGCTCTGAAGCCGGGCGTCGGGGCACGTAGCCGAGCAATATGTCTGGCGGCTGGTGCCTCAGAAGGCAGCTGCCGCCGCAGGTGGTAGCGCCTCAGAAGCAGCTGCCGCCGCAGGTGGTGGCGCTGCCGGTTCAGCAGGGGCTGATGGCCC